AACATATCATTTATCTCGGCCGTGAATCTGATCATCCTAGGACCACGCTTGTTGCATTTCACCATATGCAACCAGGACCCTTCCTGCGGCTTTTCTTCTTCTCGTTCCTCCTCAATTTCCAATATAAAAATTTCCTTACCCTTGCACTTGTGGCCTGGCGCAAATTTCTCGTTGCAGGTGAAGCACAAGCCTTTTTCTCTTCGCCTTTGTATCTCATCCTCCGTCAGCCGTCGGTAGTTGCTAGTAGTGCGTGTACCATCACCGACTGTTGGCTTGACCTCGGCTCGTGGGAGCGTATCGTCGACCGCGATGCTCGCGCGCCGAACGTCCGTGCGCCCTTCGCTCGGTCTGGCCTTGCGCACTGCCGCGAGATGATCCTCGTGCAGTCGCGCTGCTTCCATGGCAGCCCTTGTTGACCTTGGCCTGTCCAATCGTACCTCCGCAGCCAACTCAGCCTTTAAGCCTCCTACGAACGCACCTACTAGTCCCTTTTCGCGCCAATCCCGAACTCGGCTTGCTATCCTCTCAAACTCCTTTTGATAGTCGCGTAGACTACCGGTTTGGCGGATCCTTGTCAGCGCCTCATCATAATCTAAGTATTCGCTAGATCCAAACCTGGCAATCAGTTCCTTCTCAAAATCTCGCCATCTGATTTGCTCGCCTTTATTTTTATAAACATGTGACACCTATTGCCACCATGTGTTGGCCTCCCCATCCAAGTAGTAGGCAGCAATTTGAACTCTTTCAGATTTGTGTACCTCATTGATCTCGAAAAATTGCACGGCACGACTTAACCATGCATCCGGATCTACTCTTTCAAACGTTGGCATCGTTATCTTTGGTTTCGCACGTATGTGCTCCTCGCGATGATGACGATTGCATTGCGTCCTGCGATCGCCGTGGTGTCGGGTAGTGCGCGTCGCGCGCGTTCCCCGCGACCGTTCGTCGTCGTCATCGCGACTAGACGCCGAACTGCCCGTTCCCGCCATGGCTGATCTCGATGTGCGGCTCCTCCGCTTATGGTGGTTGACTCTCTCGAGCTGTCCCGCCAAGTCGTGTATCATCAGCTCCAACTTTGCCATGTTTTCATTGACCACGTGTTGTCCGTTGCCAAGGGACCTCACGCTTTCCACAAGTGCATCGAATCTCTCACGATTCGTCATGACTCTCTCTTTTTTTTTTATAAGACTCAAAAACAAAAAAAATCTAAAAGTAAATGAAAAATTCGAACAAGAGTTTCAAAAATTTCGACTCAAAAAGAAGAGAAATTCGGCCCCGTCAACAAAAGGTAATAACCGAAAAAAAAATCAAACAAAAGTACTAGATGACACTTTTTTTTTTATACTCACGAAATTTTTCGAAAATTAAGG